TGTAGCTCTCTCTTGTGAATGGCGCCAGGCGCCCTATCTACTCTACAGACTAAGCCTACAACTACAGCAATGAAAGCAACCAGACAACTTSACTACCAGYGAGTRWTGATGTCAACAYCAATGCCGACCTCCACCTCCACCAGGTACGTGTCCTCTTCACCCACACTCTCCCTTGTTACCCACACAGCGCCCTTCACCTCCGAAGAACCACCTTCGCCCTCACCTCCCCTGCGCCCTATGCAGCCCGGTTATGGCCGCCAGTGCACAGTGCACAGGCAGCGCCCTACCGCCTAGCGCATGCCTGCCTTGCACCCTGTCTTAGCGCAGCGCAGCAGCGCAGCAGCTTGCATTAGCGCAGCATGCCGGCATTGCCCGCAATGGCCAAGATCCCTGCCCACTCGCCCTGCTTGCCTATATGCCAGTGCTGCGTGTGGGCGGCCTCCCTTCAGCCTGCGACTGGGCCCCAGTGCCTGAACCCAGGCCCGATGCAGTTGGGGCCCGGGTGATGCAGTTGCGCCTCTTTCGTCAAGGCCTGTGGCCAGATTCAGATAGTGGGCCAATTTCCCTTTGGCATTTTCGGCTTCTATACCCAGCATGCATTGTCGGCCTCACGTTCAAGTGCCCAGGGCCTAACTAACTCAGAGGCCCTGGGATCTCCACATTTGCAGAGATTCGAGACTCGGTGCACTCCAACCAACTGGCGTGCTGCAACTGTATGGACCCCACTTCGTGAAATGTTTGCACAGAGGGCTGTTGCTGATTTGCTGGCCGGCCTTCACTTAGGGCGGGCACTAGGCTTGGTGGGGCCTTCGCCCAGAACATGTACATCATGGCAAGGCCCCTTCTTGAGGGCTCAATCCTCACACTTCCTCCTCATCATGATTTTTTTCTTTTCCTCTTTTTTAAAATAACTTCAAGTCAGGGGGGGTTCAAGTAATGAGGTGATGATTCCTTCGGGACATCCGTTAAAATTGGAATGATACATTGAAGATTAGCATGGCCCCTGTGCAAGGATTTTCAAAAAAAAAAAAAAAAAAAAAAAACTAACCAGGTGATATGACCTTCACCATTTATTCTCAACTCTGCATGTAGAGGAAATTGGCAGAAAACCACTTGAAGCACTAGATAATAACGACAATTCTACCGTCTTCACCCGAATAGAACGTACTGTCACATTTTCCCTGCATCTGGACTGACAGTTGTGCCAAATACGGGCATAATGACCACTATTCGGGGGAAGACCGTAGTCTCATAGAAGATCATACAATGGAACAGCACTACTCTACTACCCCAATACCATGCTAGAGCTGTGAGAGTACACATTGGAGAGAACTGTATGTATGCTAATTAAGGGCCACATTGAAAAAAAACACACGGGCATGTTCATGATCATTCTGAACTCCCATACAGCCAGACAGCTGAACTACTCGCTAAATACTATGCTAGAGTTATGAGCATAGAAATTGGAAAGGACTGTGCATCAGTTAAACCACGAGGACCTCTACCAGTGTGCGACCGCGGGGCGTTGGCGTTAATGTGCCGTGACTTCCTAAGGCCCGCGCCGCGAAGCCAGCCGTTCAGATTTTTAATCTACGACCGGCGTCGCGGTACGGGCCTCCGGAAGTTTTGGGGAGGACAATGCGCCAGTACAACCGGTAAGTACTGGTGGTTTAAACCACCAGTACACCCGGGCCTGGAGACGCTACACTGCGCGCCAAGCTTTTCCGAACCGCCTGCTGGCAGCTGGCAGGCGTTGTGGTCTGGTAGCCCCGAGCCGCAAAGTTTCCGGAGTAGGCGACGGACAAATTTCCGGAGTAGGCCTGGAGACGCTGCACTTTGATGTGATGAACGTGAGAGACCGAGCACATATCTGGTCTTAGCAGTTTTTTTTTTGTTTTGTTTTTTGTTTTTTTAGCAGTTTTTCTTCAACTTCGCTCCACTGTTGTACGAGGCAGAGACCCCCCACGGGTGCTATATACACCACTGCCCATTATTTGGCCTGATCTCCCCTACTTGCAAGTGCTTTTTAAGTTCATGGAATTGCACCCTTAGTATGGAGGGTCTGACTCTATGGACCCAAACAAACACTCCCTGGACGGAAAGAAAGACAAAAAATATCGAATGGACCTAAACAAACACTCCCGGGACAGAAAGAAAGACGGAAAATATTGCATGGCAGCCCTTGGTCGCAAATGTGGCAGGATACATGTACTGCCACTCAAAAAGCTTATTGCCTGCTGTGTTGAACCTCTCATCAGGAGGCTCACATTCCAGCCTAAGACGGAAAATATCGCATGGCAGCCCTTGGCC